CAAGAGAATGCATGTGGGTTATCATAATTTGAACTATAAGTATAATTTGGATGGGAATAACCTTAATAATGCTATGAAGGAAAGGGATCTTGGTGTAATAGTCGATCAGTCTCTAAAGCCATCCAAGCAGTGTGCTGTTGGTAGTGGTAGGGCAAATAGGATTTTAGGTTGTATCTATAGAAATATTGAATACAAGTCTAAATAGGTTATACTTTCATTGTACAAGTCACTGGTTAGGCCACATTTAGAATATTGTGTTCAGTCTTGGGCTCCATACCTTAGGAAGGACATTGAATTGTTGGAAAGGGTTCAGAGAAGGGTTACATTAGAATGGTGCCTGGGATGGAGGGGTTGTCATACGACGAGAGGCTGAAATTTCTCAACTTGTTAAGGAGGATCTGATTGAGGTGTTTAAGATTTTAAAGGGAATTGATAGTGTTGATGTATCATCATTTTTTATATTTAACAATGAGAATAGTAGGACTAGGGGACATGAATATAAATTTTGGTAAGGTAGGAGTCATCTTCAGATAGGACTGTTTTATTTTTCTAACAGGTTGGATGGCCTTTGGAATTTATTGCCTTCAGATGGTGTAGAGGCAGTAAATTTAAGTGAGTTTAAGAAAAAGCTTGATAAGTATATGAATGATAAGGGCTGGGTTTAAAAAAAAATTTATCTTATTTTTTTAAATAATTTTTAATTTAGATTTGAGTATGGCACAGCCAAGATGGACAAATATGTCCCATGTTGTCCCAAAATGTTATGTTAAAATAGAAACAAAAACACCATAGATGTCACTCCTTGTTATCTTCAAAACAAACAAATCAAAGTTGAACAGTTATATACACTAATGAAATATTGGTAGCTTTTTTTTATGGTTATTATGAAGCTTTATATACTGAAGTTTGGTTCAATCCAAACTTCATAAATTCAATATTGCAGTAATGATAATCAAAAAAAAAGGTAACATAACTAAAAACTTTTCCTGCCAAAACTTGTTTAAAAATGCAAAATGGTACTCATAGCTGAACAAATGGAAGAGGGATGGATGGAAGAAAATATTTTTAGTATATTTTAACTGGTAGCCCATAAACATAGATTTTTCACTGTGTGTGTGTGTGCCATAAATGAGAGAGTTGCTGTTTGTCAGTTTACACTTTTCATACTCATTGTGCAAGTACAGTTTCCTGAATTCTAGGAAAGTAGTGAAAGGGTTTTAAAAGATGGAAACATGGAAAACTAGAGAAAAGTACACTAGTTTCATTTCCACTCTGGAAAGTTTCAAACCTGATCCCATTATCAAAATAGAACACACAGTAGCATGAATATTCTTTGTTGTTGTACTTTTAGGGACTTGGCTGCTAGAAACTGCCTTATTGGAGACAACAATATAGTGAAAATATCTGATTTTGGTATGTCACGTAAGAAGAAGAGTACATCGTATCAGATGGGATGAAACAGATACCCATTATGTGGACAGCGCCTGAAGCCTTAAACTTTGGTAAGTATAAATATAGTGAAAATATCTGATTTTGGTATGTCACGTGAAGAAGAGTACATCGTATCAGATGGGATGAAACAGATACCCATTATGTGGACAGCGCCTGAAGCCTTAAACTTTGGTAAGTATAACGTCTATAATATGTGAATTATATTAAAAACATTTTAATAGTTATACAGTAAAGAATTGGTTCCCTAAATTTCATTTAGCCCAGGTCCTTTGAAGGTTTGATGCTGTTGTTGCTCTTGGAGATTAAGATCATTTCAAAATAATGTTCTTTTGGACTCTCCAAATTGGACTGGATCTACAGCTATACTTCCTCTGTTCATTGAGTATCGTTTTAATTCTTTCTTTTTTTTTCAGGTTCATGAGGCTTCAAACAGTTAAAAGTTTCTTTTAATGTATGAATCTTTTGTTCCATAGTTCCTAGGGTTAGTGGTAATTTAAGTACTTTGTACACCTATGTGGGTTGTAAGGCCTGCAAACCAGTAACATCTGTCAGTTTATTTTTATGTACTTGTTATTAGTGAGATGTACAGTGTTCAAGGAAATAAGGGGCCAGATGTGGCCTGGCTGTTAGGGTAACAAATTAGGGTAATTAGTCTAAAATTGTATTGACATTCAATTCCTATCATTCTGTTTATAAAGCCTTTGTACCAGAAACTGCTGCTGACTTTCTGTCCCTCTGGTCAACTCTTCAAAATTAAAAATGGCTACACCTGAACCCTGGGGATCTCAATGTGGTCCACATGTGCATAACGTGTTATATAATAGAAAATTTCAGTTCTAAAGGAAATAAATATGATTGTACTTTTTTGATTACTGTAAAATAAAACACTATCATAGGATAAAGAATTGCTAAAAAAGTACAGTGACTAAAAATGTCAAACTTATAAATTATTTGATGATAAAATGTCATTTTATTTAATTAAATTTTCTTTAATTTTATTGGTCTGATCTTATAAAAAAGAAAAAGTGTATGCTTTTGTAATGAGAAGGTTAAATTACAAAACCTGTAATATAAGCTAGATATTCAATTCATTGAAACAACTAGTAAGTTAAAGTGTTACTGATTGAAGAGAAATTAGAATAGTGAAGAACATGTAATTTACTGAACACAGTCATTGTTAATAAGTACTAAGAATACGTTATATTAAATCAGTTTGTATCTGTAACTAAATTTAGTTCTTGCAATTTTTCAATGCTGGATGTATTTTAATATGAAACACACCTCTAGTGGCTCAGGTAAGCTTATAATACTAAAAATTTGGGATTGATCCCTGCAGTGGGCATAGCACAGATTGACCAATGTGCAGGTTTGCGTTTAAACCAAAACGGTTAGGATGACTAGACATGAAAAACTAGCAAACGGGTTTTTATTTTCTCTAATTTATCTGTTTATTTAGTAACAGTCAAAATTTTTTTCTTTTGTACCTGAGAAACAAAATGAATTACTGTATGAAAAAAAACAATAAATAGATTGCCATGTATATGTATAAATTAAAATGGTAACTAGAAACTCTTTCAGTGTAGGAATTAATAAAGTATCGTGTTTTTTGAAAGTACTTTGCTTTAGATTTGTAATATCCCCAACGTGATAACCTTTGAATATTTATTTATATATCTTGGATTCATGACACTAATAAAATTTTGAACATATTACAATCAAAATAATATGGTAATCTTTCAAATATTTTTAGAGATTCAGTAAAGCTATGGTTTGCATGAATATGTTGATGCTATTCCTTTTGTTTTTAGGAAGGTATACCTCACTTTGTGATGTGTGGAGCTATGGCATTTTAATGTGGGAAATTTTATCTCTCGGAAGCACGCCTTACTGTGGATTATCCAACAGCAGAGCAAGAGAATTAATTGACTCAGGTAGATTTTGTATTATTTTGTATATTGTGGAGAATATCTCTGCAATGATTCAGAATTAAATAGAAAAATGGAAATGATTTACTATAAATTTGTGTATGTACACATATTTTGGCTCAGTTTCTGTTGTTTTGGGTAGTGTTTGACTATTTCCAGATGGCCAACTTGAGCTTTGTATTGTGTACAAATTCACATATAACCATACAACTGTAAGCAACATAGTTGCATTGTACTACTTCTAATAGTAAAACTACAGAAAAATGTATAAATTACACCATAACTGCTATAACCAATGCTGATGAGGCCTTTTTGCCCCAAAACCAGGGTTAATTTGTACTTCATAATACTGTATTCTTATTATAAAAATTGCATAAACAGTCTTAAACTCTGAAGTTTTTGTGATAATATCACTCAAGTTTTCTAGTGTTTCAGATATGGTATTACATACATGTTTAACATCTCCAGGGTACAGATTACCAGCTCCCGATAACACACCGGACTGTGTGTATGAATTGATGCTGAGAGCATGGGAGTATAATCCTGAAAGAAGACCCCTCTTCAGTGAGATCCGTAGGACGTTAGAAAGTATTTCTAAGACGTTGGGTTAAGACTTATTTTTATTGTCACTCAAAGAACAAAGTTTCTAATCTGTTAATCTGATATATTTATCTAAAAGTGCATGTAAATACTCAAAATATGTGGCTCCTATAAGTAACAATCTAGTCAGTATTCCTTATTTGAGCTTAATTTTATGACTATCCTAAGATTTTAAATATGATCAAGGAAAGCCATTTTCTTCCAGACATATATTTCAAGCAATTTGTGCCTGATCTTTTAAAGGTGCTTAGAAGTGGTATATTCCTCAACATCAGTATTAAAAATGATTAAATACCCATATTAAGAAAAAGATTAATTTTAATTGGGTTTTACACACCATGCAACAGAGGGTTGTATAAATGAGTAAAAACTATTCCGTTGAGACTTCATTCACTTAACGGAAACTTTTCTATGACGCAATTTAAACTCGTACAAGTAATGTTCTTAGTTTAGGTTTGTGTATTTAATTATAAATACCATGAGCAAGAACTGATGTTTTACAATTATTTATGACTAAAATTACGTTATATAAATGTACCTAGTCAGTAAGATTTTTAATTAATATTTTGTGTACTTGTAACTGTTACGAGTACGGAACTGAGCTATGTAAAATACTTTTTGAAATAACCAGTAATTAAACACTTACTTTTGTTCCTCTGTGGCTTACATCTTCACAATTTGTTTAGTATTTATTTTATTATTTTCATGCATGCAATTTGCAAAGTTTAAATGTGGGCGAACCAGAATTGCATAAAAAAAAATGCTTTTACCATATTTACCTGTTAAAAAGAAGATAATCTTCTAACAACGATAAGTATCTGTCACTCAAGAATGATGATAACTTACTCATTTTTTATTGGGTTTAAGAGGTTAAGCTTTTTTTTTTAAGAATTTTACTATCTTATTCAAATATTTTATTGTATAGAAAAAATAAATGTACAAGTTTCACAAATTTTAATCCAGCTGCTTAAGTCACTTTGATATCTAGTGCTTAGTGTAGGCTGCTAGTTGTGATATTTCTGAAATGTTTAAGATGTAAGAAATAAACCTCTATTAACAGTTTATAAATGCTGTTTTTTTTACTGGTGTATCTTTTATACATTGTCCCCTATAGCATTACATATTTCAAATGAGTTTTTATCACTGCATAAATTTCGAAAAATATTTTGTTTCATTTGAATAGCAATCAGTTGTTGTAACCAATAATATATGACAGTAAGGTCAGTTTGAATGAGGGTAATATAACTTAGTTTATAAAAGATAAATTATATCAAAAATTTTTTATTGTTTATTTTTTATAAAATAACAAATTACTTTACATTGATAATCTGGCTGGTCGCATATTTTAGGAAAGAAAAAAAGGGGATTTTATTTAAAATTTAAATGCTTTGAAAATCCAGTAATCAATTACCTACAGGATTTTTAGACTTAAAAAAATTTCTTCTATATACTAAAGTTACATCTGAATGATAAAAAAAAAAAGAATAGTCCCAAGGCTGTCAATTTTCTATGTGTAAATTTATTTATTTTTCGAATTCACAAAAGTTGCTTTTTAATTCAAACCTTGCAATGAAGTACATTTTTATGAGGTTAAGAAAAAATTTCAGTGGACTAGTTTTTAGAAAACAAAATTACACAATTAGTTGTGTGTGTGTGTGTGTGTGAGTGTGTGTGTGTGTTATAGATAAAATCTGGTATGAGTATAAATCTTAAATGGTGATGTAAACACACTGCTTGCTAAATGTGGCCAAAATAATGATTTTAATAGGCTAACTTTGTTTATGGAATATTAATTTAATAAAAGAAAATTAATTGAATGATTATGTATGTATGTGTATTTCACATGTCATCAATAAAGGGACATTTTATATGATCCAGTAAATTTTAAGAACCTCTGGCAAGGCTTTTTACGTGCAAAGTCTGAAGTTTTAATAAACCAACAATTTCCTTTATCATACTTGATGTGTTTAGTAGGTTCTTGGACAACTAAACTGAAAATTAGATGTGTCAATTTAAGAAGTATTCGATGAATCTGAAATTTTCTGTATCAAGTGATACAACAGAATACCAACAATCACATGAACATAATCTTCTATTACACTTATTGTGATAAGAATTTTAGTAAATACATTATTTCATTTATGTAATTGCTTATTTTTTCAGAATTTTCTTTTAATGTTTGACTTGTAGGTACACACACACGTACACAACTTATTTGTAATATATTTATCTGTGACCTCCAGGTATGAATAAATCACTGTTCATCTATAATGTGACAGTAAAAGAAGCACAGTAATTCAGATATGTGGAAAAATCATGATGTACCCATGGGGTTTAGCATGGTTGGCAATCACAGAGGTTTAAAATTGGATTCGATACTGTAATTTACCGATTTAGTGGTTTTCATGGTGGATGTCCGTGAATTAAACTATACTTATAGAAATGTGATGTTATTGACCTACTGAACCTAAAGTAAACGCTGCCTTTTCTCAGCAATGTCTGTGTGTGATGTTTCCTTTACAGTTTGCTTAACCCTTTCGAGACGGGTCATGGGTTTAAAGGCCGTGTCATCTCGTTTGTTGACTTGCATTCAAAATTTTATTTAACTACTGTTTCATGAATTTATGTCAATAAGTTTGATATCAAACTGTAATTATAATTCAAATTTTAGTACTATATTTTACTCATTTTTTTAATTTCAAAGTAAATATTAAAAACCCAGATAAACATCAATTTTTGTGTATCATACGGTATGTTGAATGCAGCACTGGTTCAAATTAGATGTTTGTGAAGTCAAAATACTAAGTCTGTAGTTTTGTACAAATTAGAAACTCAAATTACCGATATTGACAAGCTAGAATATAAAATAAGAAGGTCTTATCTTTTCTATTTGCTAAGATATTGTTTATCTAATAAATCAAACACAGTGGTACCCCACCCATATCTTTCCATTTTTGGAAATGCACCCTTATATACACTTCTATATATGACATGAATAACCAATCGGAAGCTGATGAGAATCACCCCCAGTGGCTTTCTCAGCCAGTTTAAACTCTAAGGATGCCATTCCTTTCTTTTGAACTAAGATTTAAAGGAGGTGTCTTTAGCCTGCTCGAAATTTCTATTTTTTTTCTTTTTTAGATTAAAATACATCTTAGTTACTAAGCTTGATAAATTATAGTGGAATTCTATGATATTAATGTAGTAGTTTATGATTTTTTAGTTATTCAAATGTATATACAAAACCTAAAAAATTGTTTCATATCCTACATATGCAAAATTTTTAAAGGCTTAGCAAGCTATGTCAAGCACCAACCAAGTACAAAGGTCGTAACTAGAAGAGATAATTGTTTGCTTTACTTCTTTATGTTATTTGATACAGTAAAATGAGTGCACGTGGGCCGCGGCATTGTAACTTCAGTATTGTTAGCCAGGCACGGCTGAAAGGTCAATATAATAAAT